GAAAAGCAGCATTTGAGTAATTTTCAGTAGGAATTATTACATGTAATACTGATGTGAAGAATTTTGTGTATTCCTTTAATGAATATGTGACATACTACTTACCCCTGACACACTGGTCGTTGATTAATAATCAAAATAATTTATGCTGGGTGTGGTGGTATGTGCCTTTAATCCCAGCCCTCAGGATTCAGAGGCAGATAGATCTCTGTGAGATTCAGGTCAGCCTTGTCCACATGGTGACTTCCAGGTGGGCTGGGACTAGGAAGCTCCTGCCAAAAAAAATTATATTGATAATTATCAATAATGTATTAATTCTTTGTTTTATTTTATTTATTTATTTATTTTGGTCTTTGAGACAGGGTCTCCCCAGCTGGCCTGGAACTCACTATATAGAGACCAGGCTGACCTTGAACTCAGAGAAATCCACCTGCCTCTGCCTTCTGAGTGCTAGAACTAAAGGTGTGTGCCACCACACCTGGCAATAATTTATTAATTCTTTGATTTCTTATGCTTCTTGAGCTAATGACAGCAGCTTTATAATGAGTTCTAGATCCTTGAACTAGTGCAGAACTGATTTTTTGTTGTTGTTGTTTTTCCTTTTCTTTCCTTTGTTAGGGCGAGTCTTAGTCCTGAAATAAGGGATTCAAACTTTAAAAGGCATAGTATTTCTGATGTCCCGCTGGAAAGCACAGGTGTTAAGCAAGTCCTTACTCAGTCTGGAGCAGAGCTGCTGAAACCTCTGCTCTAGTTTTAAAACCTTACCCATTCATGTGCAGACCAAAAAATCACTGTTCTTTGGTTGCCTGTTTTAACAGTTTTACCCTTAAATGTGTAGCTGCTCCTCCAGCAGCTCTATTCTTCAGCTCCAGATTTCTCTTTTTATATATATTTTTATTTTTTTTGTATATGAGTTTAATGCCTGCATGCATGAAAGTGTATCAGTGTCATGTAAGGCCCTCCAGAGGTCAGAAGAGGGTGTTGGATCCCCTGGAACTGGAGTAGATGATTGTTACCCACCATGTAGGTGTTGGGAATGAAACCCAGATCTTCTGCAAGAACAGTTGGTGTTCTTAACCACTGAACCATGTCTCTAGCCCCTCATCTCTAGATTCCTTGTGCTGACAAGACCATGCCTCTTCCTTTGACTTCTCTGTGCCCCTATCTGTCTGGGCTTGGAGAGTTCTTAGAGGAAAAATCTTTGAACTTGGATCTAATCCAAAATGATTTTTCTTAAAAAAAAAAAAAATTGAATTCTTCCCAATTCTCTCTCTGGTCTCTTCAAAGACTTTTTTTTTTCAGAGTTTATAATTGCTACCTATGTGTTTGTTAGTCATGTAAACCTACTCATATATAAACTC